TCTCCACATATGTCACACTTGCATACAAAACGATTTCCAGTTGCTTTTCGATAAGCTATGAATACTCAACGCCCCAAATTAACCGTGAATTGCACTAATTAACCCTCAGTTTTTTCCACAAGTTATTAGGTTGGATGATTGCATACGACAACCCAAAACATTCCCTACAAGTTCCCTACATGAATTGCATAATAGAGATACAAGCAAGAATCATTAAGTTCTATGAAAAACATAAGCATTGACGAGGCACTCGTTACTATGATTTGCATGAAACTTATGCCAAGAGTTTACTTAACGTGATTGTGACTAGCAACCTTCACTACTTGTGACTATAAGTTTATAACGATTAGGTGAAACTCCCTTATATTCTAGCGTCAAATTCATGCATGAAAATTAAGCGTGCACTCTTAACCAACATACACAAATTAGTTTTTATATGAACGGATAAGTAAATTGAATTCACAACTTATGAATCACAACTGGATGTAATCAAATCATATTGCAAGTATGAACATAGTTTCGAATCACCCCCTAACTAAGAGGGGTTTAGTTCCTCATACTCACAAAGCAAAGATACATAAATTTAGACATTAAAATCAAAGGAAAGAAAACACCTAAAATGCTCCAACTTGGTAGCAAGTGCATCCAAGATTCCTCATTTCCCTTGCTTGCGGCAGATTGGGTTATGGACAGATTTTGGGTAGTATTATGATGTAGAATGGATGGGGAATGGTATGGAAGGGTTTAGGGTGAGTATGGAGGAGTGTTTGATGGTTGGAGGGTGGTGGAGAACTAGGCAAAGAGGGTGGAAGAAGGTGGAGTGGCTGTTATGTTTTCTAGGCACTAGAATGGTGTTTTTGGGGTGTTTTGCTTCCTAGGGTGTGTATGGACGAATTTTTGTGATAAAATGATGAATATGGGGGATTGTCCTCTGGCCAAGGGGTGTAAACATGTATTTATAGGCCCCAAAAACCTTAGAAAATCAGGTTAGGTTAAGGATGAAATGCATGGCAATTTGTGTGTGTGGTGTGCAATGGTCCAAGGGTGAAAATGAAGTAATGATGCAAAGTGTGAAGGGTAAAATGGAGTGGTGTTGTAGCTAGGGAGCATGAATGATTGTGTACATTGCATAGAGATGGAAAAGGAGGTGAAATGTGTCAACAAATGGGTCAAAGGTGCAACAACATGTGTTGCACATGGCATTGGATTCCAAATGTGAATGATGGAGCATCAATTGGTGCATGTAATGGATGTAAATGTTGTCTAAAATCTAATGAGTGAAGGGAACAAGAGGTATCAAGCAATTGAGTGTAATAATTAAATGAATTGAAGCATGAAATTAGAAATTATGTAGGGGACAAGAGTGATCAAGCATGGCATGGAATCCGAAGGGAATTCTATGTGGTTTGCATGGCAAGGAATGCAAGTTGGGGTGACAGATTTTTTTGGGCTGTTTTCTTCATCTTTTGGACCATAATTCTTCATATTCTTGGCCTCTTTAGTTCTCAAATTCATCCATCCACTTGGCCCATGCATTTGCTATCCATTCCAAGCCCGAAACATGCTCCAAAGGCCTCCAAAATGCATCTTCTTGCATACTTTGTACTTAGAGTCTGAAAACACACAAAAATAACTTTAAACACTAAAATAACTAAGGAAATACAACGTAAATGCACAAGAACAAGCTAACTAAGTCGCATAAATATGCTCCTATCAATTTCATACAAGTATAATTTTTTGTAAGTGTCAATATGTACTTATTTACAAGATATACAAGAAATTTACCTAAAGGCGGCGCCTAGGCGCTAGGCGCTAGCCCACCGCCCGACTAGCGCCTAACGTTTTTTAGAACCTTGGTCTGGACAATACGACAATATAGGATATAAGTAGAGGTGGCAAATCAATACATTAGTTTGATTTTACATTTACACCTACCAATCTCATCCCGATATTATGGTAATATTAAGTTAAACGGATCGTAAAGGGTACCCATTAACAATCTAGTGGCTTGATTTGCCACTTTTAGACATAAGATCATGATGTTTTAAGATTAATCCAAGCATGCTCCATGGAGTTTAACAATTCTCAGTAACAAATTTGCAAGAATCTAATCACGTCGTATGCGACTAAGGAGTTGGACATTTTCTCGCGCCCACTCCAAAGTAGGGCTGGGTTTGGTTTATAACGGTTTGGTTTTTTGCTAAAACCGAAACCGAACCGAAATTTCGGTTCGGTTTTTTTCGGTTTCGGTTTTTTCTGGTTTGGGTTTCGGTTATTTTTTTTTTCTTTTTTTCTCAAAAACTATCAACCTCCCAGTTCTCATATATCAGCGAAGTGAGAGCCTCAAAATCCTGAATATATTCAAGCATTTCAACTACTTATGATCAAGCAGATCGAATTCAAAATTTCAAAACTTAAGCAAATACAGAAACATATATTCTTCAATGAAATGTACAGGATTCGAAATTCTAAAACTTTAAAATTTGCAAAATCATGAAATAATTCAACAAATTAACTGATACAGATCGAAACAAAAAAAAAAGCAAATGAGTTCGTCTAAATGCCATAATCGGACTCCAATATCGCATGCCCAGTGCCCACATTCAAATTCATAGTCAAGTCCACAATAGATCTAGAAAAATACAAAACATATTCAGAGAAAAATACAAACTTTTCCACCTTAAATTACATAAATTTCAAATGGGTAACCATAAAATTAAAAACCCATAAACTGAAAAATAAATAAAACCCACAACCTTTGCTGCAGCGACATCGCAGTGATTGTCGCAAGCTCTTACAATTCCTCTTTTCGTCGGGTCTCGAAAGGGGTGAGGGAAAATCATTGTTTGGAAGAAAGAATCCGCGAGGAGGACAAGAGAACACTGGAGAATGAGTGATTTGGAGGAAGAGAGGAAGGAGAGGGAGAGAGAGAGAGAGAGAGAGAGAGAGACTGAGGAAGCAAGGCAGAAAGGAAGCAGCGGCGGGGAGAGAGAGCGAGTATTTGAGTCTCAAACTTTGAGATCTGAAAATGAAATGGGAGTGGGACATAGAGACGGCTAGGGTTTTAAGCTTAAGAAATTTTATAAAGCATTCAATATAAGAAACCTATAAATAGGGGTGGATTTTTGCCAAATTGCCGTGCCAACCGAATTGTCAACCGTGCCATACCGATTTTGTGCCAAATTTTTTGTGCCAATCGGTAATGGTACGGTATTGTACCGTACCGAAATTTCATGGTACGGTATTGGTAATGGATATCATTACCACGGTATTACCTTATCGTACCGAACATATAATATAATATATAATTTATAAATTATATAATATATAATTATATAACACATATTTATAATATTCTAATAATTTGATATGATGAAAGAGGCTCAACCTCGGTTCAAGATTCCAAATAGGAAGAAGATTGCGGCTAGTGTGTGTGATTTATATGTGTTGGAGAAGTCTAAGTTATTTGAAGCAATGCATAATCAAAGGGTAAGTATCACAACCGATACTTGGACATCGGTACAAAACATTAACTACATGGTAGTTACCGCTCACTTCATGGATAGGGAATGAAAGTTTCACAAATGGATCATAAACTTCATAAAGATCACAGGTCATAAGGGAGAAGACATTGGGAAAGTTCTAGAAGTGTGCTTGAACCAATGGGGGATAGAGACGATCTTTAGCATGGGGAAAACTTCTATTTGTTTTGGTTCGTAGCTTCTATTTGGATTGTAAACTTAATTTTCATCATGAATCTTGATGCATCATTTGAATTATTGTGTGTGTGAATTGTGAATGATGAATAATAGATGAATTTAGGCTACAAAGTATTAGATAAAGGTACAATAAAAAAGTTTTGCACTTGAATTGGGTTAAAAAAGCCAAAACAAATTTTGTCCCAAAACAAAGTGGCAATTACCATTGCCATACCATGCCAACCGAACATTTGGCAATACCGAACTTCGGTATACCGAAAGTTTAGTATGGTATTGGTAATAGATTTTACCAAACCGAAAGTTTGGTACGGTAATTGGTACGAGGGTTTTGGTACGGTAACCATACCGAACCCACCCCTACCTATAAATAATATACTGGTACAATTATAACAACATAAAGCCTACTAAGTTGGCTTGCAGCACCTAAACCCAACCTGCAGGTCAGGGGTTCAAACCATGACGACAACATGTTTTTTAGTATTTATGTATATATATATTTTTTTTTCGGTTCGGTTCGGTCCGGTTCGGTTTTCGAACCTCAAAAACCGAAACCGAACCAGCCAGATTCGGTTCGGTTCGGTTTGACAGTTTCGGTTCGGTTTTTTTCGGCCTCGGTTCGGTTTGGTTTTCGGTTTTTTTCGGTTTTCGGTTATTTGAACCCACCCCTACTCCAAAGAGTGCACCCTACTGAAATGGTCATTTTTTTTTTTCAATATGCATATGAATAAGCGATGAAGAATACTACTGATTTTTTGCTTGAAAGATGATTAAGAAAATTAACGATCCGATTAGAATTTATAACATATATACAATAAAAGTTCGTTAATCACAATTGAGTGGCCAAAAACGTACATCTTTTGGCGGAGTTTTGATGTTTTGCATTGATCATTGATCAATAATCATGTCAACTCCTTCAGAAGAAGAATAATATGAGGTCATGGTCGCACTTGTTACAGATTTTAGTCCCACACCAGCCGGCTAAGGACGCCATCTTCCCATCAACCAAATTAAATGACATTCTCAATGGCCTTTTGTTCTGGGACTGAGTCAAGGACCTGTCCAGACCTGAAAGGATTATCCATCTTCTGCCGTAACATTGAGATGCCCTCACCTTGAATTTAATATCTGACAATATTTGAGCACATTATTAGTAAATTCGGAGCGTTTTTAAGTTCTCAGAAAACAGTTTTAGCTCTTACAAACGGAATCACAAACACGTCTTGAATATCATTTCTCCCACAAGCAGAAAAAAAAAAAAAAAAAACCAGTGCTTACAGAACAATGGCAATTCGCTATCTTTTCCTGTTCATCTTTGCACTTCTGCACAAACCTCACAAGATTAATTCAAGTAAGCATGTTTTCTACAGTTGATTTATTTTCCTAATCCATCAGTCAATCCATTTGACAGAGTTTAATTAGTCTGTTTTTTCTTTTTCTTTTCGTTTTCTTGACCAGGTGCTTGCACATTGGATTTTACCAGGTTCCCTTTCGAAGCGCAAAGCAAGTGCTTTGACATGGATGCCGCAGCTTCTTCGTGTTGCAGCTCTGCCCTCCAATCTCTCTTCCAAGCAATGACTCTAAAATCTAGCCAATCCAGATCCATATACCTCGAGATTTCAGAAGCTCAGAATTGTACGAACATATTCGAAAATCTTCACAACAGGATCAATCTTAACAAATGTGAGCTCCAAGACTTTATCTCCTCTTCAACACGGGACCTGTGTTCGAACAATGTGGATCAAATTATTGATCTTATCGGGGTTGAAACGTATAACGAGTTACGCTTCAATTGTAAGGACTTATCTAGCAGGAATCACCGCGATGAAGTGTGTTTCGATTGCGTTGTTTCTTACAGGAAAACCTTGCAAGTGCTAAAGGAAAGAAATAGAGCAAGTGACAAAAGGTGTGCTGAAGCTCTACTTGTTAGTCTAGCTAGCTCAGATGTTCAATCCACAAACTTTGTTCAGGGAACTTTTTCGTGTTTGTGGAACGAGATTCGTAAGATTCTATATCGATCTATATATTCGTTAGATTCTATATCGATCTATATATTCGTTAGATTTCTTGGACCACAAGGTTTCTCTTATACTTGATTTTTCCCAGACTGATGATCCTGTTCTTGTGTTTCTGCAGAGTCTCCATGGCCTACACAAAAAAGTCCAAACAAAGCTTATATCTTGGGATCCAAGAAACTCCTTGCCATAGTGATCGTGGCAGTGGCGCTGGTGATTTTAACTCCGATTCTTTACAAGATTACCAGGAAGCAACTAAAATATGCAAGCGAAAAAGATATCGAAATCCTATCCGGTGAGCATTCTGTTAAAATTAATTAGCCTCTTAAATCCAAGGATTAACAAATTAAGAAGTGCATGGCCACTCATATATTCGTTGTTGCGCGCGGTCATATATAGTCTCCAAGAAGACAACAGAGGATGAATTAATGAGTTTCTTCAACTGCTCCGGTCTTTACATATTCTCACGAGATGAAGTGCTGAAAGCTACCAACTATTTTGACGATTTAAACTTAATTGGAGAGACAAAACTTGGTATGAACTATGATCCGTATTATGATGCTAATCATCATTAAAATTTTTGATTAACTACACTCAAAAATTGGGTTGAGGTTGAAACTCACAGATCCTTCAGGGAAATACTATGTTGGAATAATGCCGAGTGGAATGCCGACGGTGATTAAGAGACTAAACCAGGGGATTAGGGTTCCGAGTTTTGGGGATGAGGCGTGCCGGAAAGCGAAGATTAGGCATCCTAACCTGGTGAGCACTGTGGGGTATTGTGACAAAGGAGAACACTGTCTTGTTTACGAGCACTGCGTAAATGGTAGCCTAGCAGGCTGGCTATTTGGTAAGACTAATCAGTATACTTTGTGCCGTATATCTGCATAACTATATGCAGTAATTAAACACTAATTAGGGTTTGGCAGGTAATGGAGCAGGTAATGTGAAGGCACCAATCTTGACATGGGAACCTCGAATGCAGATATCGATCGGCGTTGCTCGCGGATTATGTTTCCTCCATGCTAATCCCTTGGATAAAATGGTTCATGGAGATGTAAAGGTAAATAATTAATTTTGGTTTAGACTTTAAACATCATTAGAGAAACTAATTACTATTACTAATCAATGAATGACTGTCAGGTAGCAAACATATTTCTGACTGAGAAACTTGAAGCCAAGATCATAGACTCCGACTTGTCAAGCTTCAAGCCACATGAAAGAAAAGGGTTGCGAACCATCAAGACAGACGTTTTTGATTTCGGGTTTCTTCTGCTCCAAGTTTTGACAGGAAAGAAGGCAAAATCACTAATTGAGGAGGTTTGCTCTAATCCTAATTTCATCTAGAAACCACATACGGTCTAGAAATTCGTTGTGCATGACGCTAAAATGCCGAATTTTGTTGGCTTGACATGGTTGAATGACCAAAACACAAAACCTTGTGATTAATGGCTGACCTGAACATCTAGTTCGCAGCCATTGAAGTCGATGTGGAGAGTTTGAAATCTGCGGGAAGCAATAGTCTTCTACAAAGCACCCACCCTTATCAACTCATTCAATGGGAAGTCTATATGTTGTGTCGTAGGGTTTGCAGGGACTACCAGGATTGTATAGCTTTTAGGGTTTTGACTTTTGTCCACTAAAGAGAATTCATCACAGCCATTTAACCTCATTTAGAAGTGCTTTTAAAATGGATGAAAGTGCTTTTGGTGAAAATGTTTTTGGAACCAATCCTTGGTAAAAATGCAAGTGAATCTTGGAAAAGCAATTGAAGTGCTTCCTATAAAAAGCACATAGGAAGCACTTTAAGCACCAAGTGCTTTAGGAACCCAAAAATATTTTCACTAAAAGCGTTTTTAGTCATTTTAAAAATAGTTTCAAATAAGCCAATGTTATCATATCAAGACGTTAATGACATTAACTTGCCCTTTTAAGACACAACGGTCAACAAACTAATTACATGTGATTTCATGTAAGCATGGTATTAGACCCTAATTACATTCTTATTGATTTGTAGGATCATTTTAAGGTTGATTTATGTTTGAATTCAAATCCAACCTTAATGTTAGAATTCAAATCCAACAAATTGTGGTTCCATTAGGTGTTTGTTTAACAAATAACGGGCATTGTGTTCAGAGAAAAACCGATATATAGTGTATTGTAACCTAATTGATATGTGTCATATGTGTTGCAAATTTATGCAGGCAAGAGATGCAATACTAAAAGGAGCAAGTATAAGTGCCATGGCGGATCCACGGTTAAATGGGGCTTATGTTGCCTCTGAATTTCGAAATGTCTTGGCCATAGCCGTTCGATGCACGGCTCCGAATGAAGGGGAAAGACCATACATGGAAGAGGTTGTAAGGAAACTTGAAGAAACACACAATTTAGTTTGAAGGACTGAAACGTATTTTCGGCACATTGAAATTTTTTCCCCGTTATTTTGGCAAAAAAGAAGAAAAATTGTTGCAACCAGTCAATAGGTGGATATGCGGAGTTGTATTTTTCTTCATACCATGTATTTCAAAATCTTGGTACGAAAATGTAACAGGCGCTAATATAATAGTCTCGAATCTTTTGTTAAGGTTTCTGCTTTAGTGTAACGAAATTAGATAAACATGATCACTTGTAAAATTTGTCACGTGATCAAAGATGTGGACAAATTGTAGTTTAAAGCTAGTGATACCCAATAATTTCATGCCTAAGATGAATCTTTAGATAAGAGCTTTTCGTATCACATCTCATTCTACCCAAGACACATAAGAGATATCTCAATATTTGAAAAGCAACCTACATAGCACGAGTAAATCGTCCCCATTGTTATGATGCGTTTGACACTAGTCTTGTTGAATTACCAATATGAAACACCAAAATTCTTCTTCTCCATTCGAAACTACGTGGTGAACATGAATAACATTGTACTCGTGCCATATGTACATTCAAGTCCACTATTATGGGCCTAGAATAATCAGTTCAGTCCAACAACACAAGATAGTCCAAGTTGGCGCCAAGCCCATCTATATAATTGCTTGCTGTTATACATATCCTAAAAGAAGGAAAATGATCTTCGTTGGATCTTTTTTCTAGAGATTCTAAGGATTATGTGATCGTGATAGTTCATCATATTTAGAAATTATTTTAAATTTTAAATTTTAAAATTAAATATAAATAATACATGACAAAAACCGACTGCACGATATACGATGAACTGTTATAATCTCAGAATTTCTAGATCCGAGGAAAAGGGTCCTCCCAAAAAGAAAAGTAAAAAATAGTAGGGAGCCACGTTGACGGATAGAAATGTATACACGTCGAGTGGTGGTGTCCACGTCATTAGAAGCTGACAGTGCCAAGTCGGTTGGTGTGAAATCCCAGCAGCTAGCTGAAGGAAAGATACGAATCGCCTAACAGAAAAAAAGAAAAAGTTGCAGCGAACCACATCAACCATCACACTCTTCGTCGTCGTCTTCTTCGACAATCCAATCCGCAGCAAAAAAAATTCAAACCATCCAAAAAATCGACACGAAATCCGAATTGAAATTCGTTCCTTTCTCAGAATCCGACTGCATTACCGTACAGAATTCGTTTTCGCTACACCAAAATCCTCGTTTCGATCACAAATTTCATTTCTGCATTATATAGATACATATATATATGTGTGTGTATATGGACATGCATGCGATTGATCGGCGATTGTAGATTGGGAATAGGAGGCGTGTTTGGGAAGCAGAGATGGCGTTGCTGCGCAAACTGTTCTATCGGAAGCCGCCTGATGGACTCTTCGAGATCTGCGAGCGAGTTTACGGTGCGCCATTCTTCCTTGATTTCTTCGGTTTCTGATCCTGCAGCTTTCGAATTTTGTTTTTTTTCTTCACATGTGAACCTGATAGAAATTCTGTGATGCCACTCCAATTTTGATCATTTATATTTATATATATATATATATAAATGAATGTATATAGTCCTGCTTACATTGTGTTGTGTGCTTAATTCAATTGAGTATCAATTCTGAATTTAGGTACAATAGCTCTATTTTATGTTAATTTGTAAAGTTAATTAGTGTAACTGTAACATCATGTAATTGAACCTGGCATTTTTACAAAGGAGCAACGTTTCTGTTGTGCCAAGGCTCGTCCTCTTCACTCGACAGGAATGATAAAGATAAAAGTAAATTCTGTAGTTTTGGCTCTTAGCCAGTATTTGTTCAAAGCAGTTGAGTCGAAATTTGATACATTTAGGTACGAATTCGTTATTGTGCATTAATATAGAAGCAACATCTCGGCTAGAAAACTTTCAAAATATTTGTAATTATGAATTTGGTGAAATCAGGTGATTAATGAACAGTGTTTCAGTGGTGCCGATGTCTAAAATGATTGAATGCCGATGAATGTGCAGATTGCTAGAAAATTGTAAGGAGAAATATTGGAATGTCTTTTAAATAGTCGTGTTTATGACCCATCTGTAAGCAGCTGTTTTTAGTCCATTGCTTAATGTCTGATTTTTGTGTCGATACAGTTTTTGATTGCTGCTTCACTACCGATGCGTGGAAGGAAGAAAACTATAAGGTTTACATAGGTGGGATAGTTGGTCAACTCCAAGATCACTTGCCAGATGCTTCATTCTTGGTGTTCAATTTCCATGATGGTGTGGCACAAAGCCAGATGGCCAGCATTTTGTCCGAGTATGACATGACCATTATGGATTACCCGCGGCACTTTGAAGGTTGTCCGGTGCTCACACTAGAGCTGATCCATCACTTTCTGAGATCAAGTGAAAGTTGGTTATCGCTCGGACAGAATAATGTGCTGTTGATGCACTGCGAACGTGGAGGTTGGCCTGTTTTGGCTTTCATGCTGTCTGCACTCTTGATTTACCATAAACAATATAGTGGCGAGCAGAGGACGTTGGACATGGTTTACAGGCAGGCTCCTTCTGAGCTTTTGCATTTGTTATCACCTCTAAATCCAATCCCTTCTCAACTGAGGTATCTCCAGTATGTGACGAGGAGAAATGTAGCCTTGGAATGGCCTCCTCTGGATCGAGCGCTTACCTTGGAGTGCGTCATTTTCAGATTTGTTCCTAACTTTGATGGGCAGGGTGGTTGCCGTCCTATTTTCCGCATATATGGACAGGACCCTTTTCTTGCTAATGATAAAACTCCAAAAGTCTTATTCTCAACCCCAAAGAAAGGAAAACCCATACGGGCTTACAAGCAGGTGATTTAATACTCTTTTGGTCTTGCAGCTTGATTTCTCTGTATATTTTTTCTATACTGAGACAGATTTATATACTCATTTAAATGGTTATTGCTGATCCAAATGGCCATTGGCTATAGGTTCATCATTCCTGTCCCAACTTGTAATATCTACTTGTGGACTTTCTTTTACTGCACTGTCTTTCTTTTGTTCTCATTTGTTTTGACATGGTGTTATTCGTATCTTATTTATGCTAAACGTATGTTGATTTCAAGTTTTCAACTGAAGATGCTTTGCTTGGATGGTGGCCTAATCTTTATCTTATTTACCCTTCAACTACACTGCAGGTAGAATGTGAACTGGTTAAAATTGACATTAATTGCCATATTCAAGGTGATGTTGTGGTCGAATGTATTAGCCTACATGATGACTTGGAACGTGAGGAGATGATGTTCCGTGTCATGTTCAATACGGCTTTTATTAGGTCTAACATTTTGATGCTCAACCGTGATGAAATTGACATGCTGTGGGATGCTAAGGAACAATTTCCAAAGGACTTCAGAGTAGAGGTGTATCTCTGCTTCTTTTGATTACATGTTTCTATTTTGTGTGTTTCTTTTCTGACATATTCCTTGGTTACAATATGTTTTAAGATCCTTTTTTCAGAGATGGATGCTGTCACATCCATCATCCTGGGTGGCATGTCATGCTTTGAGGACAAGGAGGGCCTTCCGATGGAAGCATTTGCTCAAGTTCAAGAGATCTTTAACTACGTGGATTGGTTAGACCCCAAGTCAGATGCCACACTTAATGTGCTACAAGCAGCATCAAATATTATCCAAGAAAAATTAAACAGTGATTCTCCACGGAGTACTGGGAACGACTCGCAGGAAACAAGTCCAGGAAAGACCCCGAAGAAAAAGAACCTTCTCTTCTCTGATGACATGCAATCTGTGGCCTCACCGAGGCAATCTCAAGATACCAGTGTGAGTAAACAGCAAGCTAAACCCCAAGACATCCCAGCTACACCTCAGCCACCCAATCAAGGTGATTCAGTATCCCAGCATATTCCCCAACCTTCTCATTCAACCACAATGGGAGCATTTGCTCAAGTTCAAGAGATCTTTAACCATGCCACCTCACATATGCAGTCCCCAGATTCCACTGTGAGTAAACAGGAAGCTAAACCTTCAAAGACCGCACTTCAGCCACCCGATAAACATGATTCTGTGAGCCAGAAGATGCCCCAACCTTCTAAGTCAACCCCAATGGAAGCTAAATCTCAAGACATTCATACTGCACTTCAGCCAACCAATAAGCAGGATGCAGTGAGCCAGAAGATACCCCAACCTTCTCAGTCAACCCTGATGGACACTAAACCTCAAGACATCCATACTGCGACTAAACAAGAAGCCAAACCTCAAGATGTTTGTAGTGCGATTAAACAGGAAGCCAACCCTCAAGACATTCATGCTGCAATTCAGGTACCCAATAAATGTGATTCAGTGAGCCAGCAGAGGCCCGAAGCTTCTCAGTCAACACCAATGGAAGCAGCTAAACCTCAAGACAATCCTACTGTGAAGAAACACGAAGCTAAACCTCAAGACATTCCTACTGCGAAGAAACAGGAAGCTAAACCTCAAGACATTCCTTCTGCGAAGAAACAGGAAGCTAAACCTCAAGACATTCCTACGGCCACGAAACAGGAAGCTAAACCTCAAGACATTCCTACTGTGAAGAAACAGGAAGCTAAACCTCAAGACATTCCTACTACACTTCAGCCATCCGATAAACTCGATTCGGTAAGCCAGAAGCTGCCGCAACCTTCTCAGTCATCCCCGATGGAAGCATTCAGTCAAGTTCAAGAGATCTTTAGCCATGCAGCCTCACCGGTGCAGTATCCAGATACCACTATGAGTAAACAGGAAGGTAAACCTCAAGATATTCATGCTGTGGAAGTTAGAAGTGCTCCAGTTGCACCATTATCACCTCCACCTCCACCTCCACCTCCACCTCCACCTCCACCGCCACCTTCCAAGAGTACTTGTGCTAAAACAACTCTTCCTTCTCCTCCCAAACCGCAACTTCTGCCGCCTGATGTTTTAGTTTCAAAACCTGAAGACCCATCACTTTCTGAAGAGACTAAAAACTATTCATCGGATGGAGCCCAACAATCAACCACTAGTCATCCAGCTGCCACTGGGATGCCAACCTCAAGTACCATTTCTGGCAAGGTGTTACCTAAAGCACCACCCACTCCGCGTTCTGAGGTTTCTTCATCAACCCGGCCTCCTCCAACTCCTCCAACTCCCCCACCACCTCCTCCAACACCGCCTTTGAAAGAGAACCTTTTTGACGGCTCCAGACCTCCGCCGCCTCCACCTCCTCCTCTTCACTCAGGGCAAGCTGGAGGCACTACAATCTCATCCCCAGTTCCACCACCACCTACTGCTCCCACTTCTTCCGCCAAACATGGAGCTCCTTCTGCCCCTCCTCCTCCACCTCCTATTGGTAAAGGAGGTTCTAAGCCGGGTAACCCTCCCCCACCACCTATTAGTTCCCCTGGTGGTGCAAAAGGACGCCTACTACGTACCATAAGTTCAAAAAATAATAATTCAAAAAAACTGAAGCCGTTGCACTGGTTAAAATTGTCAAGAGCGGTTCAGGGAAGCTTATGGGCTGAGGCACAAAAATCTGATGAAGAGGCCAAGTATGATTTAACTTGCTACGAGAGAAGAGAAGAATTGTTTCATGTATAGATCTTCCAGCCTTTAACATTATTTCTTTTTAATATTGAGACAGGGCTCCTGAGATTGACATGTCAGAGCTTGAGACTCTTTTCTCAGTGGCCGCTCCGGCCCAGGATAAGGGTAGGAAGTCAGCCGCACATGGTTCGGTTGCCCCTAAATCTGAAAAAGTACAACTGGTAATTGTAATTTCAACTCTCAGTTAATGCACAACACAATTGCTCTTGAGGATTTGTTACTTGACGTGGTTTGTGTTCATCGTTATATTTCATAGTTTAATGCACTATCATGAATGAGGGATATGTGTTTTATTTCTTTCTTGCATATGAGCCTACTTTGTCTCTGCTTATTCATTTCACTATATATCTAACTGGCTTTTTATTTGTTTACTGCAGATTGACCACAGGCGAGCGTACAACTGTGAAATCATGCTTTCAAAGGTGAAGGTTCCGTTGAACGAGTTAATGGTATGCTTGATCGTAATTCCACAAGTTTATCTGCTTTCATCAACCTTGTTTTCAATATTAATCCCTATAAAATATGACGTTTTCTGTAATATTGACAGGATTCGGTACTTGCCCTGGAAGATACAGCATTAGATGTTGACCAGGTAGAGAACCTCATAAAGTTTTGCCCAACAAAAGAGGAGATGGAACTACTTAAGGTAAGTCTTTAGCTGAAGATGTAAGGTTTAGGTAAATCTTTCAAGTATACGTAATCTCATTTATTTTGTGTTCAGGGCTACACTGGAGAAAAGGAGAAGTTAGGAAAATGTGAACAGGTTTGCAGGATGTCATGAGTACATTTGTTTGTTAATTATATAATGTATTTTCCATTCCTTTATACATGGGGATCCCTTTATTAATTTTTTAATGTTTGTGGCAGTTCCTCTTAGAGTTGATGAAAGTACCTCGAGTAGAATCTAAGCTCAGAGTTTTCTCATTCAAAATACAGTTCTCTTCCCAGGTAAACTAGCATATGTAATTACTTATCAGCTTAGCTGTAATATTGTTTGTGTTTTATATTAAGACTTGCTGGTGGCACCGTGTAGGTCTCTGATCTTAGAAATAGCCTGAATGTAGTGAACTCTGCAGCAGAAGAGGCAAGTTATTCCTTCTTTTTTTCTCTTAATCGTTGATCACCATTCAAGGATTATCAAATTCTTTATTTATCTTACAACCTGTTCTACTTATCAGATCAGGAATTCTGGCAAATTGAAAAGAATCATGCAGACGATTCTTTCATTAGGAAACGCTTTGAACCAGGGGACAGCTCGGGGTAAGCTCAAATTAATTTCGATTTCAAAACTTTGCAATGTAAAATATCGCAATGTCAAGCACATAGTTCAACACTTTGTATGCGGCCCAAATGTGTTTCATCTACATTGTCCTTGGAAACCTTTCATGCCATACATGCAACAGATTTTATGCTGCTAATTTGTGCTCATATTACCACTCCTTCTAACTGAGCCTAATAGTTGATATTGTATTTAGGCTCTGCTATTGGATTTAGGTTGGATAGCCTTCTTAAACTGATTGAGACTCGCGCACGGAACAACAAGATGACTCTCATGCACTATCTTTGTAAGGTACATTTTTCTGCTTATTCCCTATGGACTATCATTGTAATCCAATTGAACGCAAACTCTTATTTGTTTGTATTTGGTCGAATCTACTTGATATGCATGTCTTGTTAGTCATGGTCTTTCTTGATATGCCATAGGTACTCGTTGACCAACTACCGGAGGTTCTAGATTTCTCTAAAGACCTGGGCAACTTAGAACCTGCATCAAGGGTATTCTTTTTGTGTCTGGTTCATAATCTTCAGGAATTATTTGGCATCTATTGACTAACATTTTTGATGCGTTGCAGATACAATTGAAATTTTTGGCGGAGGAAATGCAAGCTCTAAGTAAAGGATTGGAGAAAGTTGTACAGGAATTATCCACCTCTGAAAATGACGGTCCGATATCAGAAAAATTCCGTAAGGTATGGATGATGCCATTAAAATGACAAAGGCGATATGCATGCCTTAAAGACTGATTTAACTACCAAAAGAGTCTATGGTGAGCACTCGCTCCTTGACTAATAGTTTCTCTTTTGACCTTTAGATTCTAAAGGAGTTCCTCCGTTTCGCTGAAGGTGAAGTGAGGACTTTGGCCTCACTGTATTCTACCGTAGTAAGTCTTGGTCCGATGAGTACTGTTTCAAGGTTTCGTAATGTTGGATAAGTATTATTAACACAGAGCTGCATGATACAGGGTAGAAATGTAGACGCATTGATCCTTTATTTCGGAGAAGATCCCGCTAAGTGCCCTTTTGAACAAGGTACTCATTTAAGATTTGACCTTGTGTTTAGGACCTTCTATTCTGTTAGTGGTTGTTCCCTGTCGTTCACAACTCTCAACACGAGCCTTTCATAACCGGACCGACCATCTTCCTTCATAGTGTTTGTGGTTTGCTTAGTCGGCGGTTTACACAGCTCTGATCGGTTTAATCGCGGGCTACCTTTCTAACTGCATCAATTTTCTGCTGCAGTTGTTACAACCTTGCTCAACTTTGTCAGAATGTTCAACAAAGCCCATGATGAAAACTGCAAGCAAAGTGAGAACGAAATGAAGAAAGCGGCAGAAAGTGAGAAGCTTAAGATGGGCGCTTCGAAGGAATCCGAACGATTGTTGCGTACTCCGATCCAGAGCAGCAACGTCAAATGATCGGGTTTCTAAATCCGACGCGTTCATCATCGTGGACGAAAAAATATAACATGAACACAGGTTTGAGCAGAAAGGTTTCTTTTTCGTTTTCTCATTTTCCCCTTTACAAGGCTAAATGGGAAAAAAAGTTTTGGTATTTAATGCGCGGGATTAGAATGTAAATTAGCGTAGTTTGTACTTGTTTCGCAGATGTAGGCCTAGAATTATGAATCGACAAAACGTGACGCCGCAAGGCCGATTTTGTCCTCCGGTCCGGCATGCATATGCATTTCCTAAACTTTTTTTATGGAGCGATGAAAGTTGAGGTTTCACAATAAAGCTAATTGACAATGTAGTCGTTTGCCTAATTAATTATAAGCACATGCGGTGTGGAATTGACAGGGTGCAGGATAACCTGCTCTAATAACATGAAAAAGTTGATGTTCAATTATAGAATCAACTGGCAATATAAGTAGTAGTTCGATTAGCTTATAAGCACATGTAATGTAAGGTCTTTCTTTTTCCGATGTAGAATTGATATTCTCGACATGATAGAGGTCCAAAGCAATACATCAGTAGGGAACTTGTGCGACGTTAGATTGCAGCAGTTTCTTTCATTGATATAAATAAATAGAAGAGGAATTTGTGATAGTTCCTTCAGTTTTCTTAAAATTTTGTACGTTTAATTTACACTTTTGAAATGTGGGTTGCACTGAAATTTCGGGATCCTGTGCAAAATTTATAAGGATCTCTTTTTAAGATATATATATATATATTTTAAGTATGACAATATATTGATACTAGAAAATAATAACTTAAATCAAAACAACCTTTAAGACTCAATGATTGTAAGTTTACAAGTGTCATTAAATAAGTAAAAAGAGTTATAAACATAATCTTCATTAAATAATAAAAAAAAGTTCAATCTTAAGCAACCAAATAAAGAAAAAAAAGCCTTTAAAAACTCTAACTTTAGAGTTTCACTTGAATGTATAGCATTATTATATAATTAATAAAATTGAAAAGAAAATCGTTTTTAAGGTGGTGTTATTAACACTCCTAATATCTCATTGTGCATTATATTTGGAAAGAAAAAAAGAATTACACTTATAAAAGTGCACTATAAGATTTTAAAGTGCTAATAAAATCATTTTTTTTAATATATAACATTATTACATATAAATATAAGATACCAAAAAATTTTGAGGACCATGTGCGATTGCACATTTCGCTCCCCTCAGCGCCGTCTCTGGTGGGTTGGACTAGTTGGTCGAGCTTTCCGCCCTTGCATGGTCGTACTCAAGTTTGAATCCCTCTGCACCACTGTAATCGTTCTTAATATTTTAGTTTCCTTTTTGAAGTTTTGATACCAAGAAACGATGGTTGGCCTGTCTGATCTGTGTTCGATCCACCTATATTAACTAACACTTGTTTGTTGGAGTTGGTCGCTGCTGTTTTGTATAATCATACTTGTGATCTACAAGTTAGGAACAAAGTTTGCATTACTTAAATCGAATTTTATCAAATTCTGGGCTCTTAGCATAGCTCATGAAATGACAACAATTACGTCGCGGACTAATGATTTGTGGACAATACAATTACTTTGCAGACTAATTGTATAATGACATGTGATGTTCCACTTTATATTCCAAACACACTGAAATCTCTCGAGATTTCTCTCGTCATGATTAATGATGTGAGAATCCGTTCTAACTTCTCATAGCTAAGCATCAGTGTGGATTGAGACATTTGATTCATAACTTCAATAAGCTAACACTTTATGTTTTTTTTTTTCTTCTCATTTCTGTTGGTCGCTTTCTGGTTTAAGGATTGAACCAATACACCTACTACAATGGAAAGAGAGCGACGTGACTTGGTTGTCACGTTTTTTCCACATTAGGCTTTATCGTTGCAACGAAAATGAAAGCAACAAAACCTTACGAGAGTAACTACTTATTAATATTTGTGATTCGATTCCACTAAAAAATTACAGACTTGCTCATAAAAACAACCAATGCACATTTATTTCTTATTCGACGTCCTCGATCATTTATGAAATTTAAACTCAAATTTAATAGTCAAAATGTAGGTAGGGTAGAGAGAGCCTTGATCAACAAAATGCGACTATTGTGGACCAAAAATACTTGTCCGGTCAAAACTATATAGTATAATAATAAAAATGTAGATATCGTATCGGTCGTTGGCACGTGCGGCTTTAGCTGTACCATCCCCGACAGTATGTCTTGTGAGGTGTGTGTGTGGAGCCCGAGCAAATCACGTGCCCGCAACGTTACAAAGATGCAGGGGATTGATTCCTTCTTCTCTTTCAATCCCAATATTTACATTTTGTTTTTCCATTTTTTAACTCTATTTTTTTCTGTGCCACCAAATCCCCGTAGATTGCAACGACGTCCATCTCCTAGGATTCTCGCTGGATTCTTTTTATGAAGATCTTGAAAAACTTTTAATCATATCTTTTCATTGTACATCATACGATTAAAAAATATTTAAAATTGAACATAATCATCTGACGAAAACTGATCGTATGATCTACGGTAAACGTAATTAAAGGATCTTCGGGATCCTCACAAAGAGAACCCGACAAGGATCCTATCTCCATCTCCCTCCTCTCCAACTATTTAAATACATATTTTCACAAATTACGGTGCACAAAACAAAGTCGATTATTAACATTAAAAATTAGCGAGCCAATGAGTTTGTAATTCAGTTCATTATTTGAATTTTCGAGTTTAATTTTCCTCTTGTCACTTAGTTGCACGACATTTGAATTTTTGAGTTCAATTTCTCCTCTTTTACCGCAATAGGTTAAAAATATTCTCCATTTTATCCGAAGTTTCGAGTTTGATTTTCCGTTCCTTGCACGACACAGAAAGTCTCGAATTCCATTCTCCCCTCTTGTACTTTGAATTAAAAAAATAATAAAATAGGAAATAAAATGGGTGTGTGTCGGTGCTTTTTTTATCCTTTTTCTCATCCTTTATCTTTGTCTTTGGACCCGGCGGTGGCGGGTGAGAGTTTGTTGGGAAATTGGCTGTAACATTACGTGTCGCGGCCTGAGTGCAGCATTACGTATCATATGGACTCACACGCCGATTCCAAAAATGGTGGTGGGCCCACGACGAAAATGATAAATGTTATTTCCTACCCTACCCCAGTAATAAAATGAATTAACTAAAAATTAATTAGTTATTATTTTTTTAATGAAGTTACTTGTTTTTTGTTATGTATATATATGATTAAGATAAACGACGTATTTATTTAAAATAAATGCTAAAGAGATTCTTTCAAAATGGGACCTTTACGACATTCCACCATCGTATTTTTTAGCACAATTCTCAGGATAACATCTTAAAATATATTGCTAGGTATATGAGGTGACGGATATCCCATGAAGGGTCTCATTTGTATTTATTCTATTTAAAAAGTTATGAGTTGAGCCGAGCACCTAGTAGCGTGAGCTTGTAATTAAGTAGGGCTTTAAGATGTTTGATGGAAGTGGAGCCCAACCCAAGTGGGTAAAAGTGTTTGAAATCTATTTATAAACCATGTCACTTAGTATTATGATTTAATGATATTTTTCCTAATTTGTAAGTGATAGGTCTTATGTTCGATTATGGTCAAAGGTGAATTTGAACCACATTATTATTAGTTTATTATAAGACTAACCCACCTCCTATTCCTAATGTAAAAAATATCGTTTGTTAAAAAAAAAGTTATGAGTTGAGGAAAAAAAACGAGTATGAAATTAAAATAATCTTTTAATTATAATTACATACAATGCATTTAGATGTTTTGTGCTTCCTTTCGTTGGTGTTGGATTCCATATCGGCATCAATCAGTCAGAAGCCAAACATCATTGGGATGGCCTTGTCCTTTCAAATTATTAATAATTATTAGTTTAGATAAAAATTAATTTGCATATCCTTTGTTGTCGTTACCTCCTGCCAAAGTGGAATCAAGATTCTAAATCCATGCGGCACTTTAGTTAAGTTCCCACCAAATATATAATTATGGTAAATGTGGCTTAAGCAATAATAATCAAGCATTATGTATTACTTTTTCTATATTCATGAAGTGGGTCAACTGATTAGGTTTTTTAGGTAGCTAACACCCTTAATTATGGCCATTATAAATAGTAAATAATGCACAATGTTGATTTACATTGATTACAATGTGAAACTATTTTATTCTCAATGTGAATCGACGTAGAATATCGCTTGTAATAAAGAAACTAAACTCAAATAACGACAAAGCATATGTAGTTTACATGCTTAAAAACATTTTATATCACATCTGAAGTTTTGTTTTCGTATTCTCCGTCTTCAATATCACTTGATAGTCGTACCACAGATGAGGTCGTCCTTGCAACTGACAATGTACGAAGCTTCCTCACTTTAGCATCCCCTTTTGCCCTATTTTATCCGAATTAAGAGGAAAAAGAAGAAAATTAAAAGAGAAAAAAAAACAGAACGTGCCATAATTTACTAGGCACAAATAAACATCATCATCTACAACACAACACAAAAGCAAAAGAAAAGTGTTTTAAAGTTTCTGCCACTTTTCCGGCATTGGATGTGTCATGTGTGGAGGAGCTTGGCCAAATTATAGAGAGCAACTACAAATTACACGAATTTATTGATATCGTAACGTCTCATGTTAATAATATAATTTTATTCAAAAAATAAAAACTTTACACATATCAATATATTACTAGCACGAAATCACTATAACCGTACCATATAAGTAAAGGAAAACTAATGAAAATAGCTTGAAAACTTTGAGTTTTAACGATAAGGAAAAAATAAAGGGTAAAGTGAATAGTACCATGATTGATTTTTTAGTATTAAAATATGATTTTTTGTTAAAAAGAAAAATATCAGAAGTTTTTCGTTAAGGCTCTTTAGAAGTAAGTCATCCTCGAAATTATAGGGCTGTGATGATTACATAAAACTATTGCCACCACCAGATGCTTCCAAAGTCCACCTCCCTCCCTCTCTCTCTCTCTAAAATTAGGATGTAGGAAGCAAGAGTCACCATTTGCATGTGAGTGTTGTGAGAGCAATGACTTTTGGTTGCCTCGGTCACAGTGTCCATAGAGATCCTCCAATCCAATACAGAAAAGCTACCTAATCAAGGCTTTAATAAGGGAATCAAACACTCCCCCGAAAAAGGAACAAAAGAAATTACCTTAACACAACCCCTAATCATTCATCCCCACCGATTTCTATCCCTCGCCTTTTCACTTTACATATCCCTCTCACCACATTCAACTCTCCTACAATTACGACGTTTACGGTATTTTAAATCAGTCACGCACTGTTATGTTAAAAAGTTTAAACATATAATTGTGTACATAGAATTATAACACCATTATTTTACTTTTGACACGATAACTTTTTGTGTTCGATTATTAGTCTCGGTGAATTATCCGGCCCACAAAATGGTGGCATCCGGTTTTTTGTGACTAGGTCGGACGGTTCATTTGATCCGACTGACGGAACACGACAGATCTAGGTAAATTTCTGTGCACATTCATACATTATTAATCTAGGAAACAAGAAAAGGAAAACAAACAGCGAAAGAAGAAAAAGGAGGAATCCGGTGGGTCAGTGACCAGCGCCTTACAAGATACGACTAATTAACAGCAAAATCTAGTACTCGGTGCGTTTGCTATCTCAATCGCTTCCCAAAGGCATAGAGATCCAAATGCCTCACGCCCCACCAACCGCCATTTCTTCTGCTTAAAGCTTTCCATGGCCCATTTTACTACTCATCATTGCTAGCTAAAAGCACAGGATTAATTACCGAGATAAAAGGCAATGGACGTGGGAAGAAGGAAGAGCGGTGTGGTTGCAGGCTCAGTGTGGGAGAGCAGAATGAAGGTTGATCAAGTTAAAGGCGGGGTTAAGGTCTTCAATGGCGATCAGGACAATGCAGAAGAGACTAGTACTAATGGGGTTACTGCCGCAACTCGCGCGAGGTTGAAGAGAGCTCCAGCTGGCGGCGGCGGTGCGGCGAGTTCTGGCAAGAGAAAGACCTGGAAATCTGAGACCTTTGAAGGTTCGGAGAAGAGCCCGATTCAGATTTCGAAAGGGAAAACAGAGTCCGTGAAGAATTCGGATGAACAGTGCAAGGAGCTGAGCGTCTCTGTCGATGGAATCAGGAAGAGCCCAGCTCAGCTGAGGAGGCTTAGATCTGAGGGAACCAAAGAGATTGGTGTTTCTGCTGAGAAAAATGAGAGAAGCCCAATTGGGATTAGGAAGCCGAGACGTGAATTACTGAAAAGTTCTAGTGATTTGGGTGAGGGAGCTGAGAGGAATTCGATTCAGCTGAGGAAGGTGAAATCGGAGTCGAGCAGGGGAATTGATGACCCTTCAGGGAGTGCAATTCAATCGGAAAAGCCGAAATCGGAGCCGAATAAGGCCTCCGATGAATCTGATAAGGAAATGGAATCGGTTGAATCGGAGTCGAGCAGGGGAATTGATGACGCTTCAGGGAGTGCAATTCAATCGGAAAAGGCGAAATTGGAGCCGAATAAGGCCTCCGATGAAATTGATAAGGAAATCGAATCGGTTGATGTGTCTGTTAAGGAGATTGAGGAGAACCCAGTTGAGAATTCTGAGATTGGAGACGATGGATCTGATGAGAATTGTAAGGAGTTCGGTGTGTGTGAAGAAATGGTCGTGAAATCGAGCGGTGGGAGCAATGCCGGTGTGCTCAAATCTGATGATGATCGTAAAGCGAAAGAGGACAATGACGGAGATGACGGCGGAGATGAATCCGAGGAGGAGGTGGACGAGGAAATTGAGGTTGAAATCGAAAAGAAGAGTGTTGACATCAAGGAAGTCAATGCAGCACCAGAAGAGAAACCAACGGCCAAGATTGTGAAAGAAGAAGCGAAGGTGGTGAAAGTCAATGAGGTGAAGAAGCCGGCCGGTCCGGTCAGAACTGGGTCCGGTCCGGCGCTTCTCCAACTTGAGCGCAGAGAAGTGAAAAAGCTTCTTCAGAAGCCGCCGGAATCCATTTCCTTGAACTTGAAGAAATCACCAGCTCCTGTTATAAAACGGGCAACTGTTTTTCCAAAGGTCCCCAAATATAATTACACTTCATGTAAGTTTCTTGATTTCTTTTGAATTCTACATCTGCATATTTCTCGATTTATGCTTGTCATCCTTTCGCACTAATCTTCTCTGTATCGTTCCAATTTATCATTCTTTCTTGAGAGAACTCCCAATTTGCATATTGTTATTTTAGTGATTTGGGTTTTGTTGGGATTGCTTCTTGGTTCTAATCTTGACCTTTCTTTTCACCAATTAGTTTCAGCTTCAAAAGAGCGCCACAGCAGCTTCCCAGAAACACACAGCAGATTGCAAAGTCTAGGTGAGTTTTAATTCCTAATTTATTTCTTAATCTACGGAGAAGGGATTCGAAATTTGGTGTAATCGGAGGAGCATATCATACTAACCAACCGGTCTAATCCACGTCTGTTTTCATCGTTTTATTTTCTCAGTGGATTTGATAATGTGGAAAGATATATCAAGATCAGTTTTTGTGTTTGGAATTGGAACATTTGTGATACTATCATCCTCCTACACAAAGGATATTAACATCAGGTCAGTTTAATCCTCATCAAAATAAATTAACAAAAAAAAAAAATAAATTCTGCATTTCCTTCCTCTAAATCTAATTAATCTTACTTAATCCTTATTCCTGCAGCTTTATTTCTGTAATATCCTATCTTGGGCTTCTTTATCTAGCTGCCATCTTCCTCTTTAAGTCCATTATTTGCAGGTAATTTACTTTTCACTTTTATACACATACTAAGATTATTTTTTTGACCACCCTTTTGCTTTAATTTGGAAAATTAATATTTCAGGGGAGTTTTAGAAGTAGATAATACAAATTATGTAGTGGGTGAGCAAGAAGCAATTTGGCTGCTAAGACTGGTTCTGCCTTACTTGAATGAGTTCCTGCTGAAGCTCAAAGCTTTGTTCTCTGGTGATCCTGCCACCACAATTAAGGTACTTTCTATTTTTTTTTCCTTCCTTTTATTTATTTATTTATCTATTTTTATTTCTGATAATGTTGATACAAAAAGGTTGGTGATGTATATTGTATCTTTTGCAGTTGGCAGTGCTGCTCTTTGTTTTGGCCAGGTGTGGCAGCTCCATTACCATTTGGACCATGTGCAAAGTGGGTAAGTCCCAATTTTTGTTCTCTCGTTATAAGTTGAGCTAGTCAGTTGGTTAGGACAGTCATGCCGTCTCTTTGAACTTACGCTTAAATCTTTTTCCTCACACATTAGAATAGTTTACAGTATGTTAAAGATGAGCTAGGTCAGTCGGTTTAGATAGTTCATGCTGCCTCTTTACGCTTACGTTCAAATCTTCTTCCTCACATATTAGAATAGATTAAAATATCACCTTATAGCGATAACAATGGATTAGCATGAAAATTGGGTTTTTTCTTAAGTTTACATTTTACAATTTGATCAATGGTAGTGCTACTCACACATCTCTTTTTACTTTTTACAAACCGTTATTAATTTTTGTCAATTGATCTTATTCAATTCATTCAATCCGCCAACTAAAAATTAAGAGAAATGTGTAAAAAATAAAAATAGGTGTATATATAACACACACTTAAATCAAGGGGAACACTAAAGTGAATGAACTAGGAGAAGGCTGTGTTCTGTTTTTATTGTCATTTTCGAATCCGGATCCTCTTTGTGAGGATCCAGAAATCCGTGAATCGTGTCCGTTCATCGTACATCGTTCTGTCAGAAATTATTTTAAATATTTTTATTTAAAATTAAACACAAACAGTACTTGATAAAAACTGACTGCACGATATACAATGAACGGACACGATTCACAGATCCCCAGGATCCTCACCAAAAGAATACGGAGAGGATAATGTTGGGTTGTTTTCAACCCCACAAGTGCGATAAATTTTTAGTTGTGACGGAAATACGAATGGTACACCATGTGTTTTTATGTAAGTGGTGAAAAATTTTATTTGTTAAGTTATTAACTTTTTAACACACTTATTCTACTATTTATATAACGACACGTGATGTACCATCGCGTGTGACACGGTCACATTGAAGAATCTCTTCACAAGTGCAGCCAAAACAGAGAGACAAGTGTGAAAAATTCTCTGAAAACTCAGACTTCTGATCGTTATTTTAACTTTTTAACTGACGATGTGGACTTGTTCGTGCAACATGGCAGGCTTTTTCGGAGTTTTCACCCTACCCAAACTCTGCTCTTTGTATTCTGCCCAGATAACCGTCTACGGTAAATTTCATTCATTCCTCCAATTATTACCCTTGTGCCCCTTTTTATCAACTTATTTTTACTCCATGCATGTATTAGTATTACTACGTCACGCACTTCTTCTACGATATTCGCACCGGCATTTTGATCCATCTCACATTGCATACACGCACATATTATGTCCAATAAATTTGTAGTAAACTCGAAAGAAATATGTAACCGGATGTATATTTTTTTTCGGCACGGTTAAAAATCTCCTATAAACTCACCTACCCTTTAAAATTGTAATGGATCTGTATCTGGTAGTTTGATGATGGTCCCTCACTCTCCCTAACGTGGAATTGATTGGTCCCCACACCCCCACGTTAATGAAAACGATATCCATTATGGTATGGTCCCACACAAATAAGTCTATGAATTAACATTATCGTAAGGTCCCATGAACGACTAAAAGTTGAAGCAAATAATGGGCTTCAATCCTTATGGGCCCAACTGTGTTGGATTTATGGTCTAAGCCCAATGGATCTGTTATAGTTTTCACTATATTAATATTTAAACGAAGAAGTGATTTCCACACGTACATAATGACATATATATTTTTTCTTATGTCCACGATCGTTTATTTATGGTTGTTGGTTTGAATTAATTAAAGGAGAGTCCATCGTAGTATCATAAATATGTTTCCAACTATAATTGTAAAGCATATGCGTGCTTGTTCCTTTTGACCCAAGTTCCGAATCTCCTTCTCCGAACGTATTTTCAGAAGAGAGCTATAATTATTTTATAGAGCCTTCACAAGCTCAATGTGTCCTAACAATGTATGCTTTGGTATTGACGTGATCAGCTAAATTTTGGGTTCGGCGATTTCGGGATGCATGGGAGTCATGCACTCACAAGAAACCATTGACCATTGCCATTTTTCTACTGGTTTGGAACCTCTCTTCTGTCGTCGCTCGAATTTGGGCAGGTATGTTAAACAAGTCCCAACGCTTCTACGCGTAGTGTCTATCATTTTTTCTAGTAATTGCAAAATCACAGTGGCTCTCCCTCTCCATTGTTTACGATATAATTATGAAACCGAGCAACGTTTTTGCAGCGTTTATATTGCTCGTGGCCTTCCGGTACTATCAGCAGAAACTGGTGGCGGAGGAGTGGGCGGAAGAATCAGATGATGCCGCTGCAGGAGGAGGAGGAGGAGGAGGAGGAGCTCAGGAAACCTGGGAACAAGAAGGAGGACAAAGACAAGGGCATGTGGATATTACCAAAGAAAAGAAAGGATTCTAGACTCTAGGATTATACATATTATATACCGTATGTTGTGCTCAAATCAAGTTTTTTAAGTGTCTGTTTTATTCTGGTTTACTGTAGATAGCTAAATATCTTTGATTAGGGACATTGTTTAATCCCAGCTTGTGACCAATAATTACTTCACTTAATGTACTTTGTAGCTCTTACGAATATATAAAGGAAAATAAATGAAAAGTTTGGTTTTCGTTGACTACTCTTATTATCCATTCCATTGGTGTTATTGGTGGTGGACCTTGCGGTCGTCTCGTCATTAAGATTGCTAAGTTTCTAAACACTCCTTATTTGTGTACTTTAGGGTTTTTTACTACTGGTTCATGGTTGGTGTGATAAGGGCTCGTGTTTAGAGTGTTCAGACGAGTAATCCTTTAAAAAATGGTCATGTGTGGATTTTGACAGATAAATGGTAGAGATTGACGTAAAAGATGACATTGATGCAGGAGAATGGACATAATATTGATCGAAATAAAAAATAAAACGAAAATAATGAATTCGGAATATTACATGAGCCATTTGTGATGGAAATCCTATTTTTATGTTGAGGATTATGTGTGCAAGTTGCAATTTGTGCATGTCGGAGCATAACTTGACCTTTACTGTGTAGGAAATCTTAGTGTACGACCGTCGGATCACGTCAAGTGTCAACTTGATGGCACGCCTCATTCCAATCTTTGGAAGGAGGCCTGAACCCAGTTACAAGTGTGTTTTTTGAAATTTTTTTGTCGATGCAGTCGATATTTTAATTGAAATATCGAAAAAATTAGATAAAGATATGAAAAAGGGAGGTGAAGTTTAAACTTTACATGATATTTATTAAATTTCGTTAAAATCAACATATTTTCTTGATATTTTCGACATATCGGTTAAATATTGACTATATGACATTCACTAAAATTTATTTTAAGTGTCAATATTATCAAAAAAATTTCCATCATTTTCATCAAAGGCAATCGATACCGATATCAAAGGCATATCGAAAAGCACTTAAACAGATCGAGACGGGACCTAAAAGAGGAAAAACATTTGGACGGTGTTTTTTCTTTTTAGTTTGTAAAGCCCAAATGCGCGGCCCGAAATCTCGAACCCGTTACATAAAAAACAGAGAGCGCGAGCCTCACGGCGGCAAACGGCAAAACCGGTAACTATTTTTTGTTTCGGAAATTCAAACCAGTGTTCGGAAACGAAGAGAGAAACCCTAGAGAGCATTGTCAGTGTCAGTATGCGTTGACTACAACACAGATACAGTCGTCAGAGCCGGAAAGGACGAAGGAAGACGCCGAGGAGTGCTGGGAAATGAAGGATTCCCAGTCTCTCGCGTCGCGGTGAGGAATTTGAATGGGTTTCCAAGTCTAGCTTCAATTAAAGGCAAATTCCTGCAAATTGTCGGATGGTATGGAATCAATCCATGATGCTGATTTCGTTTCACAGTGAAGAAGAAACTGGACTTTGGAGTCTGAGCCAAGAATTGAGATTCCTCTGGAATTTTGTTTGAGTGATGAACCTTTTATGGTGGCCACTGATGGACATAGTGTCTCCTATAATGTACGCACGCAAAAGCTCAAATACCTTCTTTTTTATGGAATTGAAGATAATCCATGTACTGAAGTTGTTGTTTAGGTCGAGATCATTGTTTCTGTCAATGGAGACAACAAGTTTAAGGGCGCAGATCCAAACAGACTCTCTGCAAGGTATGCAATGCTTCCCTTTCTGTGGTTTTGCATTTGTAACATAATTTGCATTCCAATTTCAATGCAGACACCTTTCTTTGTGAGGTGTTGTTTGTTCCCTTCAGATACACATGATTATAAGATAGTAATGTAGAACAATTTTGCCTACCTTACAATTATTTGCAACTAGAGAGAGGTTCTCTACTTTAATCAATTACTAAGTTGTTTTTTCCCTTTCAGGAGTGTGCTTCTCTCACATGAAACAAGGTTAATTAGGTTTTTTATTTTAATTCGTTTACAGTTTTATCAACTTGGGAGCAGCCTCTCCATAAATGGGGGTAAGGCTAGCCGACATTCACCTCTCCCAGACCCTGCGTAAAGCGGGAGCCTTGTGCACTGGGTACGACAGTTTTATCAAGAGTAGATGCATGTGCATGCTCTTATGTTTTTCCCCATTTACTTAAATCTTTTAATTTTGGTTGCCATGTGACACTTATGTTAGGTCATTTTTAGAAGAGGCCAGTGCACAATGGGTGAATGAGCCTATGCTCTGAAAATGGCGTAGCTGCTTGATCCTAGGCAAGAGTACTTTGGTGATAAAGTGGTTTCATGTGATGATGGCACCCAAAAACAGAAAAAAGGGTTGTGCTTGGACAAGAATATGTTGTTTCGATCCTTAATGATACAGAAAAAGTAATTACTTGATTCCCTTGATGATACTGAAAATTAGAGGTGCTATAGTTAATATGTGTGAACAACACAGCTCTGGAACCAGCATGTACCTTATTGGATTAAGGCTATATTTTATTACATGCACTTGAAGTTCACCCCAAACTCAGAATGAAGCTCATACCAGACCGAGTTCTGCTACCCATGCTGTTTTGATTGTTGATGATACAGAAAATTTAAGTATTTGATTCCCTTGGTGATACTGAAAATTAGAAGTGCTATGTTTTAATATGTGTAATGTAAGCAGCACAACTCTGGAACCAACATGTACTTTATTGGTTTTCTGGCTATATTTCAATACATGTACTTGACTTTGGTAATTATTAATTTTGTGTGGTGCAGGTAGATGCAAGTTCAGCCAAAACTCAAAATGAAGCTCCTGGGCTGAGTTCCGCAGCCCATGCTGAATCAGTAAGTGATGCTGTACATTTTCTCATTATTTCATTTATTGCGTAATCACACAACCCAGTTTAGACCGAGTGAGTGTTTTTGTTCATTTAGGGGAAGAGGTAGACCAATGGGCAGAGGAAAAGGGAGAGCCACAGGCAAAGGCAATGAAACTCAATTTGCATCTTCTTCTCGAACACTAAGTGAGAGAATCGTACATGCAAAATTTACTTTGTTAACTAAGGCTTAGTTTGACATTTTTGTTGTGGTTTCGTGCTAAAAGGAAGAGGAAGAGGCAGTCAAGCCATGTCATCATCAAGGCGAATGGAGTTCACACAGCAATCTGCTGTATTGCCATCACCTTCACAAACTGTGACAAGAGGAAGAGTTCAAGGCGGGGCCAATGTAGCAATGGCAACTTCACAAGACTTGCCCTTCCGACCATCAACTTCGGTTAATGCCAAGCCCAGGGGAAGATCAAAACACTTCATTTGGAAACCATGAAGTATAGAATCTGCTGTTGGAGTTGTGCAACTGAAAGCAACCTGAAGAGAGTTCCTTGTAAGTACTAACCATGTCCTTGTTGTGCATAGTTTGAATAGTTTACTCCTCTTGTCTAGTTTAGACCAGTTCCTCTCAAGCTTACTTTATCAGCAATCCTCGACAGTAAATTGAGCCGCCATTTAATAGGGTATCATTGTCTCATAAATCATTAAAGTATTGAATGTCGTTTTCGATGTGAACTAACTTTTGAATTTTTCATTAGGCCAAAATAGAAATATGATTTCTGACTAGTCTCTCTGATCATATGAACTTTTTATGTTGTCTAAAAGTTAGGATACCAAAGAGTGGCTACTTTGAGCTTGTATATATAGAATACGGTGCCAAATTTGCTCAATGCCACAAACTCTAATCTCTTTCCATTACAGATTGCAGCTTCTGAATGAATAGAGCTGCACCAATTATAAAGTCGAGCCCCAACTCTGACCATTATCAGCCTTGCAAGGCCTTAACAACAACATTCATTAAGTAGTTTTAATGAAGCATGTTTGGAAGCTGCATTCAGTGGGCTTTTGAATGGTAAGTTTATTGCTTAATTATTGGTAAGAAATAATTAAATGCATAGACTAATTATGGTTAGTCTTTTAAACATGTGGCACAATCTGGAGGGAGGTAAGGCTACACAATGGTTAGGGGGTGAGTAAAAATGCATAAACTAACTCTTGACTGACTGGCTTAAATTCTGTAAATTAGGACATCTATAGTCCATTTGGAAATGCTTCTCTAAGAAACAGTTTTTCTGGAAGCTTTTTATGGTATATCCATGTAGAAATGAAGAACATTAAACTTATAATTATGCTGAACACTGGGCAAGCCAAATTTAAATAGTGTGTTGCTATTCCTACCTGATGTCATGTCCTCAACCACCATTAGGGAAAATCTTAACAACAAATTTATTCATTCATAAATGACCTTGATACCTTTTATTTATCGTAATCTAGCCAACTCTGTACTCCCACATAGACCTAGTAAACCTATATTATTTCCGCCCCATCTTCTTTAGTTGGATGCAGTGCTCCAAATAAATCTTTTCAAGGGATCTTCTCTCGTTGCAGATTATTGATCACCATGTTTTCTTTTCTTTAATTTCCATTGTTTAAATTAATCACGACTGACACTAACATAAAGCTTCACTTGAGTTTTGGTTTCTCTATACATAAAGAAGAGTAATTCGCCGATTCCCCCCCCCCCCCTAACTTGTATCCCATTGCCAATATTACCCATAAAGTTTTATTGTTGCCAGTTTCTTCCCTAAAAGACTATGAATGACCAATTTCTCCCTATCTTCAAATTTATCCAAATTGCATTCAAAAAGTAGCATGTTGGTCATTAAATCTTCTATTATGTTTGTTATATTTTCTTTCTTAATGTTGTTATTATTAATTTTGAAATGTGACATTTTCAATAGAAGGTTTAGATGAAATGCGGGGAAACATGGCCGTATGGGAAAATTGGCCATTTATATTAATTTATTGGGAAATTGTCAAAATACTCTTGATTTAGGAAACTGATATCCGCACACCCCATTCCCCCACCTACAGACCCCTGTTTATTTATGTTCCTTGATTCTCCTTTTGATTTATTTAGTATAATATCCACAAATATATAGGGTGTTAAAAAAAAATGGTGCGCGGGAATCATGTCCTATATATATATGGATTATTGTTCACTTCTTTCTTGATATAAATTGTAATGTAAAGTATGTTCTCGAGACAGATAATAAATGGCATCCACATTTGGACCATTTTTTTTCCTTTTTAGTTTATATAAGTCCAATGGGTCCCCCGAACCGTTCCATCATCAAACAGCAGCAAAAGAAGAAGAACAAACCCTAGAGAGAAATATCAGTATGACTGAGCTTTGACTATAACAGAGAGATTAGTCAGAGCCAAGCGGAAAGAAGCAACTAGTGTTTGGAAATGAAGGAATCTCAGTTGCTCCAAAGAGGAATTTGAATGGATTTTGAAGTTTAATCAATTTCTCCTCTTGGACTCGGCACAATCGGAAATCCAAGGTAAGATTTCCCTTGATCTTGCTCCATCATTGTTCTGCCTTATTTAATTTGCTGAAAAGCATAAAAGGAAACGTAGAAGAGGAGAAATTAATTAATTAGTTCATGGCAAAGTCGAGTAATTTGACGGATGATATGGTGGTGCAAATCCTGTCTCGATTACCACCAAAATCTTTGATGCGATTCAAATGCGTCCACAAGCTGTGGTGTGATCTAATTGATAGTCCTAGCTTTGTGGCGAGTCACCTTTCTAACTCGAATTTGAAATCGAAATCAGATTCCTCCACCAGCATTGTTGTAAAACATACTGTTAAAAATGTGGAGGATGATAGGAAGCACGTTTTATTGTCATTGCTTAATGTTTGCAAGGATGTTAGCGACGATGATGACCGTGTTGAGGATCTTGGTGCTGTGTATCCTTTGCTGAGTATATCTTCCCCTAATTTTGAAATTGCGGGTTATTGTGATGGGATTTTTTGTCTAAGTCTTCACTTGTGTCCCGAGGATATTGCTTTAGTCAATCCAGCTATCATGGAATTTCAGTTTCTTCCCAAGTCTTGTCTGCTCCTCCCTCCCCCACAACCAGATGTTGCTGATGGAGTGGATACCATTACCAATGCCATCGGATTTGGGTATGATTCCAAAGCTGAAACATACAAGGCGGTTAGAATTGTGAAATTTTTGCCAGGGCCTAGAAAAGCAGAGGTATGCACTTTAGGTGCTGATTCTTGGAGAGAGGTCAAGTTTGAAATCGATTGTTCTGTCATCTGGACACCTTCTTTTTATTTCTACTTCAAGGGGGTTTTTTATTGGTTTGCTACGGATCTCCATAATAACGATTTCATCCTTACATTTGATATGGGTGAGGAGGTATTTCGTAATATACCAGTTCCGTATGATTCCCTGGAGAGATTTGCATGGAATTGCAGCCTTGCAGTATGGAATGAATCCATTGCTTTGTTTTGCTACTGCAAAGATGAAGGAACTGGACTTTCTATCTTTGATATATGGGAGATGGATGATTCTACCGATGGGGTAAAAAGTCCGTGGAGTAAGAAACGCTTAACAATCGAATCTGTACCAAGTATAGAGATTCCATTGGTATTTTGGAAGAATGACGAGCTTCTTCTGACGGCCACTGACGGATGTGTTGTCTCCTTTAACATACGCACTCAAAAGCTCAAAGACCTTCCTATTCATGGCATTGAAAATCCACTATATATTCAAGCTGTTCTTTATGCAGAAAGCCTTGTTTCTGTCAGGGGAGGCAGCCAGCCTCTGGCTATAGACCCAAACAGATCCACTGGAAGGTTTGTAATGTTTTTCCTTCGCGTGTTTTTGCTTTTATACATTAATTAGTGTTTAAATTTTGATGTTATATACCCGTCTTTGGGAGGTGTTGTTTGTTCCCTCCAGTTCTTCATTATAACAAAATCAGATGTTGTTCCTGTTGGAATTTTGCAAACTAGATAGAGGTTCTCTACTTTTAATTTTTCTTTTCTTTTCAGTAACATGCTTCTGAAAGAAAACAAGATTGTTTAGGTTTTCGTTCATTCTGATTCACTTACCTTATCTTGTGTACATTCATGTGCGTGCTCTTATGTTTTTTTCCCAATTACTTAAATCTAGTGTATCGTTCGAGTTGTACTTTTACCCGAGGCATGTATGAGCTTATGCACTGGAAATGGCTAAGCTGCTGGATCTCAGGAAAGAGTACGTTGGGGATATCGCGTGAGGAAAATGTATGTACTTGTTTCTCTTGTTCTACTTGAATTTCGTTGTTGTGGTGAAGGCGTATTTTGAAATGTTAATTAGGCTAAGTCGCAAAGACATTGCTGACTTTGGTTGTTGATGTTTTCTTCTCTATCTTACGAACTCTCGATATCGTCTTAAAATTTAGATTTACCTTTTCAACTTCATTGTATGGAATTTGGTTTTCTGTTTTAATGGAGCGAACTCTATTTTCATTACAGATTACATTGCAGCTCCTGTATTTTATAAAATCTAGAGGCCCAGCTCCGATCATCGTCATTTTCGGCAGGCCTTAACCGCAACGGTCTTGTTACATGTTATGCCCAAACTTTTGAACTGACCGGCTTAAACCCATAATGCTTGGGTTGGCTAATCAGAATCTGTTCGTGTCCAATCTGATTTCAAACTCGATTGAGCGGGTTAGAATGAAGAAAATATTTGCCCAAATTTAACCTGACCTCAATCCAATCGTTTATTGGGTTGGGTTGATGCATTTCCGGTCCATGTCAACCCAAATTTAACTCCATTTTAAGCCCAAATTCAGGGCTGGTTTGGTATTGCTGTGCTTTGAAAAAAAGCTGCTGTGAGAATAAGCGGCTGTGCTGTGAGAATAAGCGGCTGTGAAATAAAGCCAGTAGAGTGTTTGGTAAATTTTTTTGTGAAAGTGCTTTTGGAAAAAAAAAAGCAGGATGATAGTGTGTCTTTTCATTAAAGGAGCACTGTAGCTCCGTGTGCTTTGAAAAAACTGGCTTTTTTTCAAAGCAGCAAATAGCAGCTTCAACTTTTCCTTTGATTTTCAGCTTATTCTCACAGCAGCTTACAAAATAAGCCCTTTTTTTTCAGTTTACCAAACACAAAAATGACCCTCAGCTTTTTTTCACAGTGGCTTTTTTTAAAATCACCTCAATCCCAAACGGGGCCTCACTCATGCACATATTATCTATCCCATTCATATTATTTGAGTCATTGATAAGTTTTTGAGTGACTATATCTGAAGTTTATTAGCAGTTTTCATATGAATAATGAATGATACTATTACTTTTACATTTCTTTTGGTTGAAGCTTTTGGCATACGTCTTGTAATTTAATTTCAACTTTGCATGGTTTAATTAGTAGGCCAAGTTGTCTTCTCTAATTTTTGTTTGGATAGTGATGTATAAATGGTATTTTAACCAATATTGGAGTTGTTTGGTTCAAAATTTAAAAAATCATAAAAAAATACAATTTTATAAGATGAACTCGATAAGTTGGGTGTATAGTGTACCCGAACCCAACCCGAGTAAGTCCAAACTCTATTAAAACTTGAACCCAACTAAACCCCCATGAACCCGAACTCAACCCAAGCCCGAATCATGAAGGTTGGGTTAGGGTTTGGTTGACCATCCAACTGTCTAATTTGTCCGAGTTGCATCCCTAACTTAAGCTAGGACATTTACGACCTTCAAATTTCTCTATAGAAAGAAGTTTTCAAGAAAGTGCTTTTATTTGAAGCACGTTAAATCGATGAGTGAGATATGCTTTGTTATTTGGTTAGGAGTTCAACAACTCGTCGAAAGAGTCTCATGATACGAAGATAGGTTGTCAAGAACATAGAAGATTTTTGTTAGTTAGTTGGTCAGGTCTAATGTGGATCTCACATGACAGTAGTTGGAGCTGGCAACTCTTTTAGAGTTCCCTCATTTGGAATATGCGGGTAAAATAATCAAGCTGGCTCTTGTGAACAACTTGATGCACTCATTTTGAGCTAAATCATTTCCACTTTTAGAGATCACCCCAAAAGTTCAAGTAGTTCTTGAAAAAAAAGACACAATGAAAGAAAGCATTGTGTTTCTTTTTTTTTAACTAGAAGCACTCTTAGCTAAAACAATTTCACCAAAAACATTATCAAAAGCGTTTTTAATTATCTTAAAATGCTCCTAAACTACTCTAAATATGACCGAGAGAAAACGACTCATCCAAAAAAGAATGGAGTGGAAGATGATACTTAATGGATTGTTAACTTATTAAACATGTTCTAGAGTTTGGCAGGTGGATATATTGGTTACCAATCCTCCATTTCTCATCTTATGATTGAGCCTATTATATATAATGATACTGATTGATGTATCTAACATTTCCATAATCTCAAAAAAGGACGAGACTAACGATGATTAAAGCAAATTGCCAAGACTGGTAGTTTTTTATGAGCATCATTTACCACGTGTCACATTTAGATATAGCTTGTCAATTAATTAGGTTAATATAGCACAAAGAGAGGGACTGATCAAGAATTAGGCAGATTGATTAAAGAAACACGTGGATGGCCCTGATGAATACAACTATAGAGAAAAATTCAGATTATCAGATGCGTGGGAGACTTCGTCTTCTTAAACTTGATTAGCAAATGAATGAGTAATGCTAGAAAATCACACATTTATGCATTTTGTACACTTGTCTTTATAAAACCAACTTTCGTTAGCTTCTTAAGATTTATGGATGAAACTTCAAGCGTAAATATTATGCATCTGCTAGTATTTTTATCGTTTTCGTTTTCATTTTCAAGTGTAAATATTCAATAAAAATTACTTTTTAAATTCAATAAATAGTTAGGCCGCTTTTAAGATGGCTTCTATATTCCTTAACTCGTACACAGAAGACGATTGTGAACACGGAAAATTCCTGAAACGAAAGAGACAAGAATAACGTGCACAAAATAATATTTGTGTTTTTTATTTTTGGGGTTACAATCTCTCTCTAATTTGATCATCTGATTCGATCTCCGTAAGATGTTGATTTGTGGATGTGCGATTGATCCAAAGGGCCGTTGGGCTTGATCTAAGGATGAACGTTCTTCAAGGGCCGTGGGCTTGATCTTGAAGGTGGATTTGATCGGATCTTCAAGGAGCCGTTGGGGCTTGATCTTGAGGATGAGCGTTTCTTCAAGGGCCGTTGAGGCTTGATCTTGAATAACGGTGATGAACGGATCTTCAAGGGCTTTTGGGCTTGATCTTGAAGAACAGTGATGAACGGATCTTCAAGGGCTTTTGGGCTTGATTTTGAAGAACAATGATTGGATGTATGGATTTGTCGACGTTTGTTGATCCAAAGGGCCGTTGGGGCTTGATCTTAGGATGAATGGATGATGAACGATGGTGCTTTCTTCAAGGGCCGTCGGGGCTTGATCTTGAATTGGTGGAAGTTCTTCAAGGGCCTTTGGGGCTTGATCTTGAATTGGTGGATGGTTGATCCAAGGGTCGTCGGGGCTTGATCTTGGAAGAACGATGAACGAGGAACGAAGAACACTTTCTTCAAGGGCTGTCGGGGCTTGATCTTGAATTGGTGGATGACTGTTGATTCAAAGGGCCGTTGGGGCTTGATCTTGGAAGAACGATGAACGAAGAACGAAGAACACTTTCTTCAAGGGCCGTCGGGGCTTTGATCTTGAATTGGTGGATGATTGTTGATCCAAAGGGCCGTTGGGGCTTGATCTTGGAAGAACGATGAACGAAGAACGAAGAACACTTTCTTCAAGGGCCGTCGGGGCTTGATCTTGAATTGGTGGATGATTGTTGATCCAAAGGGCCGTTGGGGCCTAATCTTAGGATGAACAGTTGTGTGGATTTGTTGATGTTGTTGATCCAAAGGGCCGTTGGGGCTTGATCTTAGGATGAACAGTTGTGTGGATGTTGTTGATCCAAAGGGCCGTTGGGGCTTGATCTTAGGATGAACAGTTGTGTGGATGTTGTTGATCCAAAGGGCCGTTGGGGCTTGATCTTAGGATGAACAGTTATGTGGATTTGGTGATGTTGTTGATCCAAAAGGGCCGTCGGGGCTTGATCTTAGGATGAACAGTTGTGTGGATTTGTTGATGTTATTAATCCAAAGGGCCGTTGGGGCTTGATCTTAAGATGAACAATTGTGTGGATTTGTTGATGTTGTTGATCCAAAGGGCCATTGGGGCTTGATCTTAGGATGAACAGTTATGTGGATTTGGTGATGTTGTTGATCCAAAAGGATCGTCGGGGCTTGATCTTAGGATGAACAGTTGTGTAGATTTGTTGAACACTTTCTTCAAGGGCTGTCGAGGCTTAATCTTGAATTGGTGGAAGTTCTTCAAGAGCCGTTGGGGCTTGATCTTGAAGGAGGAATTTCTTCAAGGGCCGTTAGGGCTTGATCTTGAAGGAGGATTTGACGAAGAACGAAGAGGGCTTTCTTGATCCTTCGGGATTTGCTTGAATTTGGGAGGTTGGATGCTTGAAAGCTTTAGAGTTTCAAAGCTTCAAGGATTTTGGATGTGTGGGGAGTATTCTCTTCCATTTTGGGAGTAGAGAAATGTATTTGTGAATTGGTTTCTGATACCTTGATGTAGAAGCCTATTTATAGGCTTTGAGAATGAATCACCACCACAAAATATTTTTTTCTTTTCCAAGCACCATTGCCTAATTTCCCACTTAATACAATTTTAAACTTGAAGTGGTAATTTTATGGCCTAATTTTCCACTTAATATCATTTTAAACTTGATATGTGCATGCTTTGTCATTGCCCAAAATGAGAAGAAAACCTTGTTTTGATCTTCAATGGATTGAAATGTGCTTGCCTTGTCATTGCCCAAAATGAGAAGAAAAAACTTGTGTAATCCTCCAAGGGTATTTCTTCTTATTTTGTTGAGTCACACACCATGTGTACAATTTGTATGACACGTGGCATATGCCATGTATGCTCTGACACGTCAAAATTTTAATGCGTTGGTGAACATTTATTTCACCGCAATTTCGATGTCTACAAATGCCCCCATTTCAAGGTGCGTCGTATACATGTGCTTGTCACGTGTAGGAGATGCGTTTTGAAGTCCCTTACTGTAGATGTCAATCCAAGGGCCATCGAGGCTTGATCTTGAATTGGGCTGGAGATTTCTTCAAGGGCCGTTGAGGCTTGTTCTTGGACTTTGTTTGAAATTTCTTCAAGGGCCGTCGAGGCTTGATCTTGAAGGTTGAAATTGGACCACAAGGAGCTTCATGTGGTATATGATTTTTGGCTTTGGTAGTGGATGAATCGGCACGTATTTGTTTTTACGCTTTGTTGACTTTCCACAGCTTTGATCTTGAACTGGGTTGGAGGATTTTTTGGATTCCTCCAATTATTGATTTTCCACAGCTTATTCTTGAACTGGGTTTGATTCAAATATGGTGGACGCTTGATCTTGAATCGGACTTGTGATTTCCTCAAGGGCCGTCGAGGCTTGATCTTGAATTTCGTTGGAAGCTTCTTCAAGGGCCGTTAAGGCTTGATTCTTGAAGGTTAACTCAAACACATGGCAAGTAGGCACGAGGTGAAGGTGACGACTTGTTGCTTTGTTCAATCTTTCTAATTCACACCTGAGCAGTTTGGTCAACGGTATGATCTTCAAGATTGATGGGCTCTTCTTCCAGTTGGTGACTTGATATTTAAGGATTTGATTCAAGGGTGGTGAAAAGGCACATGCAGCCCACAACGCCTAGCAAGTCGACCCAAGAATTTGAGGGTCAAAACGAGTCCTCCACCCAGAGTGATTGCAAAC